GAACAGGAGTCATAAATATTACAACTGTAATCTTAGAGCTGTAATCAGACATATTTTATTATATCTTATTACTATAGTTTATATTAATAGTTTGAATTTGTTTTATTTTGTTTTGTTCCTAAATTAAAATTTTGGCCATTTTGTTGTGTTTCAAATTTTTACTATTTTATTAATCTATTCAATTCAATACATTTTACTGTCTATCCCACAGGGGTTAGAAATTTCTCTTTAGACATAGGCTCAACAACAAAACATAAATACACTTACACAATTATTTATAAAAAAAAACATTTCTTTGGAAAAAACAATAGCAGAGGAAATAAATGTCTTCTTGTGCTTAGCCTTTTTTTTTTTTTGCTAAAGGGACTTTATACCATCTACCAGACGTAAGAAACTTAAAAGAACCGTATAAAGTTTTTTTTTTGCTGCTACAAATAAATCAGTAAGAGGTTTTTGTCTCATCATTTATTTTACTCACTACGTTTATTAACCTTAAAAGTTTACTTTTGCGTTTAAAATAGAGAGAGTTAAATCAGGCTACATTATTAAAAGGACAGACTCAATACGTGATCTATATACGACAATCAAAATGTCCTTCTCAGTATCAAAACTTCTCAGTTTTCTCAACAAACTCAACCGCTCCTGAGGCTTTTGAAAAAATTCTCTGAGTGTTTATCAAAAGAGAATTAAAAGTTTATTTCCACACTTAAATATTTAAAATAACTCACCGATTCAACTTCCTCCCTATTAATTAGCAAAGGTCAAAGGTGCAAAGAATTCTCTGTTGTCCAACTTGTGATAAAATTGACAAAATATATCCATTGACTAAGTATTCTTTACACATCCCACCAATAACAGATCATCTGCATACCTTTCAGATTTTCATTGACATAAGTTATATTGTTTATATAAATAGAAAATAAACTTAGTGATAAAACACATCATTGAGGAAGGCCAGTATTTAACACCAAATTCTCAGACTATACATAAACCTATACATGCTGTGGTCGATCCCGCAAGAAACTATAGAACCACAAAATAAGTTTGGTAAACTTGCAGACCTTCTAATCGCCTCAAATCAAAAGAATATCTATATATCCTTTTAATATTTATATTACTTTTTTGTTTTCTAAAAAAGGCAATATTAAATGTAAATTTTATTAATCTATTATTAATACAATGACACTACTTATTTGTTTTATTATTTAACAATAAGTAAAAAATACTTAAAAATAAAATCAACATGATTTTACAATAAAACTGTAACAACTGAATTATATTGTTTTTCAACATTTTTTTATTACAAAATGAAATATTAAATAAAGTTTATTTTCCTCTTTATAGTATTTTTATTTAGTTATAAATATAATAATTTAATGTTAATGTCACTTTAATTTATGTTAACAAGAAAATGTAATAATTGTATTTTACATTAAAGTTTTTGAAATTACATTGATTACAGAAAAATACTAAAAACTAAATTAGAAATAGGGCTGCGTGATATTGGAAAAATCTAGCAATGCAATGTTTTTTTTTTATTTTGCGATATATATTGCAATACCAGTACAACTTTACCAGATGGAAAGAATTTATAATGTTAGATCAATTGAGATGTTTCTGCAGGGGGAGTGCATCTCCATACAATCTAATAAACAATCTATAAATTTCCCCAACAAATTTTCGTTGTGGTCTCTGTGATATTTGCGGTGCATTTGCGCATGTTGTGAGTATTATCATGCATAACAATCTATAAATCTGATTTTTTTTTTTAAATACAACAACAATAAAGTGTTTTATAATTTCTTGAGTCAAACAATATTCAAGTACAATAATTGAATGATATAAATAAAAATAATTCAATTAAATGAATTTTTGTTAGTCACAAGTAGTGCAATTTCTTATGTCTAGATGTTTTTAACATCATTTTACAATTCCAAGCATTAGAAACACATGATAAACTATAATACAAACACTACATTGCAAATAATCATTGTGACATCAATGCTGAAATATATATATATATATATATATATATATATATATATATAGTGCAGCATAATTAGAAACATTATTTGGTATGGTGCCATATTACAAAATGCATTATTTGTATCAATAATAATTATACTACCCCCATACTGATCGATAGTTTTTTTTTTTTTTTTTTAGTTGTACTTGCACTTTTTGTTCTCATTACAAACACCTTTGACTTCAAGTTTAAATCAGTGTGTAATGCTAACGTTACCTTACATGTCCTCTAATGATTAGATAACCAGATAAACACATCATCATGGCGCTAAACAGTTCAGATAGCACTTCGAATCAAGGGAGTGTGGACAAAAAATATATATGAGGCATGAGTGTGCACTTTAAAGAATACATACTGTAGTGCACACTGACGTGAGCACTTAGTGATGATGAGCTAAAGATGAATGATTCAGTAACGTTACTTAACTCAGTCTCGCACATGCGTAAAACACATAAACAGACACGGTGATGTCAAGCTGCTTACTCATATTACAGTGATAACATGTATACGTCACTCCCTTTAGATAAACCTGCACTAAAATGATTATATACTAGATAGAGAGTGGTTTATGTAAGATTGATCCATAACTAAATTCATAAGGTATGTTAATAACCAGAGACTGCTATATAAAGCCGTTAAAGAGACTGTACTAACTATTAATGGTTGTCAGTGTATTAGAGCACGTGTTTGTACTTTTCTGATGAATGTAATAAACACAAGTGATAAAAAAGGAACTGTCACAACTGACCCTAGAGTAATGAATGCTAAGCTACTGAGCTAACTTACTAAACACCCCTACTATGCAAAATACAGCGTTAACTATTGTTAACTAATATGTGTTTTAATTAATAAAACAAAAGAGACTAGCTTTTTGAAAAGTACAACAGCAAACTACAATGCACTGAAAGGCGCTTTAAAACACAAAACAACACCCGTCAACAGTTAGCAGAAAATACAAATGACACAAAACACGCCGCATTAAACTATCCGCTTCAAAGATTGTATGACTTTTTCATAATATGCCATATCTACTGCGAACATATATCAAAGCAGTCATCACGCAGTTTCCCTACATTATTACAAATAAATATACAGACCTTACTTGAGCTTGGGGCCGCTCCTTACTCGGGACTTCCGGTCTGATGCACTTTCTACTTCCGCTAAGGGGCAGAGCTATCAAGTGCATGTGACAGCCGACAGCTCAGAAAGCCACGCCATTCAAAATAAATGAACTAATTACAAAACATGTTAACTATCTTTTCATTTCATTATATCAGTTTATGACTGATACTTTATCAAAATATGTAATTTTCTTGTGTTCACTAACGTTGTAACGTTAATGCAGATATATGTAAATAATTACAATAAGATTATTCGACATGTCAACAAGATTTTTTAGTCACTGATCACGCCATTCAAAGCAAAAGAGCAAACGTTTAGAAAACATGGTAAAACTATAGAACTACCTTTTTGCGGCATTATTTCATTGTTCACGATATATATATATATATATATATATATATATATATATATATATATATATATATATATATATACACACACACACACACACACACACACACATATATATATATTGTGTTCACTTAAGTAAAGTTAATGCAGAAATATGTAAATAATTGCAAAAAGACCATTCGAAATGTTAACAAATTTAATGCATTAAAAATTTAAAAAATCAAGAATGTCAGTTTCTCTGGATATACAATTTATAGTTGTTTGATTAAAACATGTTTTCCTTTAAATTACTGATGACACTTCAATTTTTTCACAAAATAAAATGGCACCATGTCATCAGACGCGTTTTCTTTTTAGACAACGCATTATTAAATGTACCAACAAAGATATATACAGTATGTGTGTATTTTGTGTACAATCCCTGATTTTCAATCAGAACAATTGAAAACATCTGCTATATTGACCAGCTTTGTCTAAATTAAAATATATTAAAATAATTACAAATGACAATATTTTTATTTGAAATGTGGAAATGTTATCAGACCTTTCTAGAATAAAACAAATCTGCACGTTTACTCAAATCCATGCATAATAAATCCAGAGAATATACTGTATATTGAATAGTGGTAACATCAACATAATAAAAAAAAACAAAGTTTTAGACACTTTTAAAAATGCTGCTGTCAAGAACAGTGTCATAAATTGATTTTCTTTACCAACGGGGTATATGCACAGCTAGTGTTTTTCAGCCATTGATGAATTTCCAGTAAAGGCTTAAAGTTAATTTTTCAATTTCTTACAGTTCCTTTAACAGCACTGATGTTGTAATGCAATTACAATACATTCAGTTAAATAGACTTAGGCATTCATTTAGCTGTTTCAGTGTAAAACAAGATGAAAGACTGTAACCGCTAGCACCGTAAGTACCAGCAGCCAAGCACAGAAACCCCATTAAAAATACTGGGGTGAAATTAACTCGTATTTTAAAGACATAACGGGAGAATTGGAATTTAATGAAGTGCTTCTTGTCCGGTCTGGGACCCACTTAATATTTGATATATTTATCAGTCAGTAAAGATCTCTTATTTTGAAAGAAACCAGACTTTAAACGTGGCAATTTTATAATGGAAAGGCAGTTTACGGAGACTGGCTGGTTGAAATTAAAAGTCCATGTGCATACACTCCATTAACTTCGATATACTGAACTTTAAACGTTTGGTGACTATCCTTCATGTTTAAGCAGCTTTTGCCCTTAGTGCAATTGTACATGTTTTTCATGTTGATTTTATTTAATTCAACAAATGTAATGGAAAAAACAAAACAAGAATACATTTATGTTGGTCACTTATTAAACTTATTTTCTTATCAGAAGAACAAAGGCAACATAAGATAAAGATAAACCTGAATTAATATTTACTACAGCAGCAACATGTCAAATCATATTGCATAAGTTGAATTTATTACAAAAATAAAGTCAACCGAAGTTTTTTTTGTTTGTTTGTTTTAATTAAGTTGTCACCCAGTTAGATGAACAGGAGTCCTCCATCTCATATTGATTAATTGGCTCTGGAAGGTAGCTTGAGGCACTACATGTGACCCCGTCCCATGATTCAGGAGGCTGGAAGAAACAGCCAATCAGAGCACTGTACAGTTCCTCGCTCTGGGCCATAAATGTCTCATTTGCCTCCGTCACATTTATCTCAGAGTCTGGATCTGCAACACAGAAAAACAACAAACGGATGTAAGACACTAAAATGATGTCTAGCTTTTTATACAGTAAAAGTATACTTAGTATATTTATATTTAGTCAACACAAACATTACAGTAAACAAAGTAAACAGTAAAAATTAATGGTATAATTACAAAATATGCTACTTAAAACAGAAACATTGTCAAAATTATTCTTGTTTTTTCGATAAAAATAATTTCTAAAAGATGCTGTGTGTGTTGTCCATGCCAGGCCAATAGGTAGAGATATCACACAGTATTTTAAGCAGCACAAACACAGTGCTCGTCTCTTATAATTATTACCTTGTCTGTATATCTATAGACATACTTAAATAGACAATGCTTTCTGGCTCCCTAAACCAAGGATGTCTCAAACAAAGCTACTGAAATATTGATGCTTCAAAGATTTTGCCATCTGGTGGTAAATACAAATTCCTACACCAACTGTGTCATTCAGAAGTTGTGTGAAATGTCTCTGCACAGTTTATTTGTTTATTTAATAAACATATGCCATTAACAAGATTGTGGCATGCGTGTGCAGTGATATGGTTTCTTTATTTGAACTCCTGGACTAAACTGTTTAATATGCCAATACATTAGGCCTGTGTGATTTTTCATGTCGGTTTCCTTGTACTACATAACATCATTACATGCACATTATTAACAGACACAAATGTGCAAATACAAATGTAACTACATTTTTTTTATTCAAGAATATGATTTGTTCCACTGTGCTGAATATGAACCACTGTGCTGGAGCCTAATTGGCTCTTTTTTTAACAAATTATCAATGTTAGCTATAACTAGTTAAAAAGTAAAGTAAGAGATTCCTTTTCATTTTTAGGTAATTTAATGAGTTTTATTTGTGTGTGTATATACAGAACTTTCTGTTTCTTGAATCTGATCGGCTCATAGGCATGCGATATTCTGCAAATAACAGTACTCATCCACCCTCTTCTTCACCCTTCACCCTTGTGTATTACTCTGCCCACATACAGCAACAAGCTGAGGACACTCTACAGTCTGTACAATACAGACAAACATTGCTGCCGTTGGTCAACCTAATGTACTTCAGGCTTTTTTAGTCGAGAACGTAGTTGTTTAAAATTGCAGCTATGCAGTTTATTAGTGCCCATTTAAAAAATTTACAATTTCAGTGGTAATAAAGCCTGGTTTATACTTCTGCGTCAAGTGACCGGCGTAACCCACGGCGCATGCAAGTTTCATTTTTTGAGAGGTGCAAGTCAGCAACGCCGACAACCACGGCGAAGGGCTATGCGTCAACGCCGTAGCATACGCCGGCGTTTGACGCAGAAGTACAAATCAGCCTTTAGCCTGTCATTGAGCAGAGCAAAGATGGTTGATGGCCACAAGATGGCGACAGAGACCGCATAATAAGCCCTTATAAGAGAAACCCAGCAAATTTTCTAACTACAGCTGATCAAATTATTATTAAAACTGAGCGCTAAAAGCACATTACGTCAGTCGCGTCTTTTCATTCTCCAATCAAATGAAACCAGAGGGAGGGTTGCCATTGAAGTGCCTGCAGTGTTTGTGTTGTTATATCAGAAATGTATATATTGTGTTGTATACTCTTTGTATAAACACTCTTTATATAACCCTGAGTTACTTTTTTGTTGGTCATCCGTTTCTAATGCGTCTCCTGTTTCTGTTACAGCAAAGTGGTTCAATAAAAACAAAGAAAGAATAATAATTCTAACCACTACCATTCTATGGTAGTGTTTGCATTGCTTTGGCTTTTTTGGGGATAATTATTGTGATACCTCGGTTGCAACAGAGAAATACTGGGAAATGGGAAACTCTAGACTGATAGCATTTCATGCCGTCCAGACTTATAATCTTAATAGCCCCTTTCACACATACAGACCTTTCCGGGAAAATTGCCGGCAAAAAAAGAGTGTTTCGTATTTTCAATAAGAACGAAAGGAGGAAGTAATGTTATAGGCTCCATTTTGCTATAAATATGCATACACTGATGATGTTGGTCATAAGCATGTAGCAACACAACGCCTCAACCTTTTTGGTGTCTGTTAAGTTGCTATTGCTAAATGAAAATAGGCAGTTCCTTGTGTCATTTTTTTTGTTCCTTTCCTCATTTTATTGCTAAGAAAGTGAAACAACGTAGCCTGCAGTGTAATGTGAATGAGGTTATCAAGTACACTGTTCCCTTTGAAGATTTACCCAACGTGTCTTCAGGAGATTGTTTTCCATATCAAGCTTGCAAAGTCTGATCTTACAAGGAGAGGATATAAGATTGAACTGTATGTAGGCTACTTAATATTGAGGGAAAAGCCCCTTTCAGATGTCTGCAGCCACGCAGCAGCATTTTAAAACTAAAATGGCCTCTTCAGCGTTTTCAAAAAGCTCAGTTTTCGGCGCTTGAAAACTCCGGCGTAGTGTGGATGGTGTAACCGTAGCAATACTTATGCGTTTTCAAACTAAAACGTGTTAGTGTAAACGGGGCATAAGGCACACATCCTCATGGCAATACATGCGCCGATATACAGCTATATCGCACTGCTACAATTGTGATATTGTTCACCCATATATATATATATATATATATATATATATATATATATATATATATATATATATATATATCTTGGTGCCAAGTTTCTTGTTCCTTACCAAAACGCAGTTGTCATGTACGTGAACAGACAAAACAGATAAAAAATTTTTCATTATTAAATGGTGTCACATAAATATTCCCAAAAACTTACACTCTAGGTCATCATCTTCTGTCTGTTCAGACTGTAATTACAAAAGACAAACTTATTAGACACTGGGATAAAAAATAAAATGTAATTCAATGATTCAAACTAATAAACCAGCATTGCTAATATATATATATATATATATATATATATATATATATATATAAAAGATTAAAATATAAAAAGATTAAATCTATGTTAAATAAAACTAAATGATTTACGCAGAACTGGCTTGACCTAAGGAACAATGAACAAATGAAACCACATCTACCTGAGTCACATCTACCGGTGTTGTGTTCTGGGAAGGATTTAAGTAGTCCAAACTGTAGTTCCAGTCATATGTAGATAAATAGCTGAGGTTCTGTGGGTAATAGTACTGGTTTATAAATGAGGCGTTCTTGCTGTCTGAATGATACTGCCAAATTTGGTTCTCAGACGACTCTTTCTTCTTATTCCTAATAGAAAGGGAGAATAAGATTAATATTTCTGATAGCACTATTGCTTAGTGGAAGCAGAAGTCATTCAACTTTAGTTTTATCATACTAAATACATTTTAAGGTTTTGTTATAATGCTGCTCTATGCAGTCTAATACAATGGGTAATGTAATAAAATGTATATTTACATAGTTCATTTACTGTGTATGGCCATACACCCAAATCATTCACAATCATGAGGTGAAAACACACCATCTGTAAGTGAAATGGAGAGACACTGATTCCAAGCCAATTCAGAGGAAGGGGACAATTGGGAGGTCATGATCGGTAAGGGCCGATGGAGGGAATTTGGCCAGGACAAAAATAGAGTCTAATAAAGCGGGCAACATACTAAAGCATCTTGGCATTTAAAACATTAAAGTGTCATTTTTTATATATAATTAAACTAGTGTCTCAGTGTCAGTAGCTAAAATAGCTTATTTCTCTGGATTTGAACATTCTTGAAACATCTGTGATAATGCAAGTACATAAGTCAGCAAAATATAACACTGTTCTAGTGACATTTAAAACAAACTTACATATCATTAAAAACTAAAAAATTTCAACACACATTACTGGCCTTCAGTGTCAAATCATGCTACCATGCTGATTTGGTTCTCATACAGTGGGGGAAATAAATATTCAACACATCACCAATTTTCTCAGAAAATATATTTTAAAGGTGCTGTTGACTTGAAATTCTCACCAGATGTTGGAAACAACTAAAGAAATTCATTTAACAATTTATGGAGGAAATTAAGAATGCAGAAAGTTTCAATTTAACACTAAAGAGCTTGCTAGAAGGGCAGCAAGGTGGCACAGTGGGTAGCACAATCGCCTCACAGCAAGAAGGTCGCTGGTTCGAGCCCCAGCTGAGTCAGTTGGCATTTCTGAGTGGAGTTTGCATGTTCTCCCTGTGTTAGCGTGGGTTTCCTCCAGGTGCTCCAGTTTCCCCCACAAGTTCAAAAACATGTAGTATAGGTGAATTGAGTAAGCTAAATTGTCCGTAGTGTATGGGTAGTTCTCAGTGATAGGTTGCGGCTGGAAGTGCATCCGCAGCATAAAACATATGCTGGATAAATTGGCATTCATTCCGCTGTGGCAACACCAGATTAATAAAGAAACTAAGCTGAAAAAAATGAATGATGATGAGCTTGCCAGATGATAATTTAATAGTAACTAAAGCCTTGTTAGAGTATCTAAAAAAGGCTCATTTAATTAGACAAAATTAATTCATGCATTTAATTAAATAATTTAGAAAATATTTATTTTTCTTTTTTTTCTTTGCTTGGTCTGTTTCTGTATTCCTTTCTGAAGCAACACCTCACACTCCACTCCAGGTGGAGGAAATGCACCAAAGCTGGTTGCCAACCGCCATTAAGTTTAAAGAAGAAGAACAAGGTACACAAGCAAGTATTCGAACTCAGGACACCTGAGGCACACTGGCACCATGTTAATGGCTATAAACCGCTATTTTTATCTATTTTAAACACTCTCTAGTAGGGTTATGCCGATAGACAATGCCATCTTCCATCGCCGATAGCCAACAAAATCGCGATCCATCGCCCTGCCCTACATTTCTATTGATATATAACTTATTATTTGCATGTCATCTTAATAGCAATAACGGTCTTTTCATGAGCTGCTAAATGTCACACATAGCTGCCGCTTGCACGGCTGACAGCATCGTGAGGGTTAAATGAAGGATTATACAGTACCTCTCATGCTTAAAATGTGTAGATTCAGTGGCAAACGCTGTTACCTGCAAAACCCGTCCCACAGACTTTACAGTGAATGGCTTTAGTCATTGTCATAGGGGACTTGAAGCCACTGGAAGTCTTTTTCCACTCTTGGAAAAGTGTAAATGGTGGATTAACATTCAGCACATGATCACTAACAAAATGTGCCATTATTAGTAACTGTAGGTATTTCTATCAGTGTTATTTTCATTCTCTCATCTTCAGTGCTTCACATTTCGCTGTTGTAGCTCCTGTCATCTGACGGCAGAAGGCATTGACAGGGTGATTTATGGCTAATATTAACCAATCACTTGAGTTCAGTTCCAGAGCAGTGAGCCAATAAGAAGAGCACAAACACAGGGCAAGCATTGCAGGCTTTTTTACTTCAGCAAATTTACATAACAACTTTTTTTAATCTGTACCCGAGTGCTGTGTTTGGCGTTTTTAGGTGCAAAGATGCATTCTGCATAAATGTCTCCTATATGTGCGCACGCGGTGAAGATTTTACAGTGAAAACAATGAAAATGTATGCACTACAGTGAACTCCAACCGAACTCTCGTCTCCTCCACCAGCAGTGGGAAAAGCTATTCGAACAACACAGATCACTGTGCCTATTCCTGCCAGAGTCCCGCGGAAAAAAAGTGGTTGACAGGTGGTCATTTGTTTGTAACTTTATTTATTTATGGTTTGGTTATGGGTAAAGACCATGTGGGTCAGGTAGTGAAAACGGTAAGCTACAATTAATTAATTAGTAATTAATATTTAACAACCACCCCCCGTCTACGACGAAGATGGCATCGTCCATCGCAATGTTTCACATTAGACATCGTGCGATGCCAAATTGGTCAACATCGCCCAACCCTACTCTTTAGATACAGCAATTTTCCATCAGTCAAATACTCACACTCTACTTGAAGCCAAGCTGAGGCGTAAAGCTTTCTTCCCGAGTCCAGTAGCCCCTTGGAGATCAACCAGAGCCCGTTTTTGCTCCCTCTCACTTTCAAAGCTCACGAAGCCACAGCACCTACAAACAACAGCAATCAGCAGAAAGCAAACATATGAAGAAGAAAACATCAGAGAAGAGCTTCTTCATAAGTTCTCACTTTGAGTGTCCATTGGCGTCCAAAACAATCTTCCCACTGCAGCAGGACGAAAAATGATAATGAAAGAACTCATATAACATGCCATCGTCCACATCCGGTGTGAGATCCGACACGAAGAGGGAGAATGTAGAGCTGAACGAAACAGCAGAAAGACGAAGTAAAGAGATGAACAATTACTACACTAACAGTAGAGCAGTTCATGAACTCAATGATTTCTTATAAGTATCTAAGAGTGAAAATAAAAAATTTCAAGATTAATCAGGGGTGATTTAATCTATTACATAGCAATTACTATGCTTTGGATTTGCTAATATATATACACATTCAGAACATCTACATAGAAAAAGTCCAAAACGGACTAAAACTTAAAACCTGTGACTCTATGTAGGATTTTTATAATTTAATAACAGTAATAATTCTCATTGTAGCAGGTTTTTAACACTTTTATATCCATTCAAATACAGCCTGTATTTGCTTATTTATATATATATATATATATATATATATATATATATATATAAAATATAGCTTTACTAATTTCTAAAACCCGATAGTAAACTTTATCAAATAAAATGAGTGTAGATAACTCAAAATTTCCTGAAAGTTTATTCTACTCATTTGAAACATTTTGCACTCAGTGTTAAAGGTAATGGGTTAAATACCTCATTATAGGCCCACACAGAATCATAACTAAAACATATTAAGGTTTTAGTTATGATACTCCCAAAATAATTAACAGAAATCCGCAGATTTTTACAAAAATTCTCTGCAGAAATAGCAAAAAACGTCTGCAGATTCCATCTGGCCCAACATTACTTCAACTTAAATGGAGTAAGTTAACAGTACTCATATAGATTAGTTTTTTAACTCAAATAGTTTGTAGCAATCGGTTTTCTCAAATGGTTTGAGTTGCCTTAACTTAATGGGGTTTACAGTACTCAATTGGTTTGAGTTCTCTTCATTTATATAGTTTTACTGTGCTCAAATTGTTTTCTTTACTTAAATGGATTAAGTTCACAGTACTCATTAGGATTAGCTTTTGAACTGAAAGGGTTTGTTGCAATCAGTATCCTTTAACGGTTTCAGTTACCTTAACGTTTTGGGTTTTACAGTGTACTTTCTGTCCACACAGAAGGTTTTTTTGAATACTTGGTTGTTGCAACACTACATCTCGCTAGTTATATGTAAACACATAGTAAAGAACATAGTTATTACTCACCTTTCACCCTGTTTCCCATAATTAGAACGACTCAGCTTGAATCTCTTTGGCTGTAAACGGCATTGAAATGTAAGTTCATGTCTTAAAAGTAAAGTTATTTCATATTTTGCGTATGAATCTGTCACTTCAATAGAGAATATAGTGCATGATTACAGGAGTGGCACCAGGTAAAGGTTTTCCATTCACTTTGCGGAGGCATCTTTCCACTGCTGTATCATCTGCCAGCTCCACAAAGCCATATCCTGCATTTTTCCTTAAGAAATCAAAAACAAACTGAAACTAACCGACAGACAGACGATGGACAGACAGACCGATGATTCCTCACCCTGTTATTTTGTCTCTGATCAGTCTGATTTTCACAACTGTTTCTCCCATTTGAGCAAAAGCTCTGCAGATGAAATCTTCATCCATGTAGGGCTCCAGCTTTCAACACAAACATTACAAACTTACATTATGTTACTGTTTGATCTAAGTGTTCATTTATTTATACTTCATTTACTCTTTCTCCAAAACATACGCACGTCTATCTTTATATCGGGAAGTAATACTCACGTTGCCCATCCAGAGGCTGTTCATGTTTCGTTTGTGTGTCCGAGTTCATTCGAAAGTCTTTGTTAGTTTTCTAAAGTGCTGTTTCTTTAGTAATGTCGAATTGTAAGATTATTAATTTCAAACCCGCGCTTCTCGTACTTTTTCTTTGAGGAAGCAAAAACAGGTTGAGAGACTCGCGGCACGTGCGAGTGTTTAAAAAGTCCTATTGTCCGACAGCGCCACCTACAGCACTGACGCAGCATCAATGGGTTTAACCTTTTAATCAAGTTTTCTTTTTATAAAATTACTCTTTTATTACAGTTTTCAACCTTAACTTGGCAAACCTGAACTTAATAAAATATTGTTTAACTTCTGCTGTGTTGAATATATCGATATAAGAATACATTGAAGCTGTGTTTTATTTAGAATGCTTTACCCTCAACTCAACAGGACTTTGTAAACAAAACCTTTGGCCTGAGAACGTTCTATTATTTATCAGTGAAATAATGGCCATTGGAACACTTAATACTCCATTTCCTCTGCAAATAAACCCCTTCACTAAGATTTAAAATAATAGGTCACCCAAATATTGTAAATTATACACCACTCAGCACTCACCCATGGTTCTAAACCTTTATGAGATTTGTATTCTGTTGAACAAAAATCTTTGACCATAGTAAGAAAAACAAAGAGAACCCAGGTAGCAAAGAATTCTGGCCCAGATTTGGCATAAAGCTGGCACAGCAGGCATTCATCTGCCACACTGTCATACAGCATGTGGGCCAAACATTATCCGGGTTTGGCAGAGGTGGCGCTGTCTTTAAGGCGGTACACAATACTTGGGCCAGATATCAAATGTAGTATTTGGCCCAGATAGTAATAATGAATATGTGGGCCATGTAAGTTTAAATTTTCCCTCATTCAATTCAGAAGAGTGCCCTGGTCACATACATCGAGGTAGATTGATGAACATGGTCTTCTTTTACAGAAAACCCACCCAATTTTAAGATGCATGTCGGATATGGCACATTTTTTTGTTCAATGCATTTTAAGGTTTCCTATGTGTTATCTATGATCTGTTTGCTCCATATTCTTTCTGAAGGTTTCATTTGATTCCACTAGGTGGCAGTGCAGTATTTATTTGCTCTCCATATATATGGGTCATTATCACTATAAAGTGCCTTTGAGAATTCAGAGATTTTTTATTTAAACACATAGTTGTTTATAAATAAACTGCAAGCAGACACACAGTAAAAAAAACTCAAACTGTGTCAACCCTATCATGGACAAATTCAAAGTAGTATATTTTCATTGCAGTGTGATTATAAATTGTCTCTTTTCAGAAAGGTAATGCGCTATAGGTGAACTGGGTAAGCTAAAACTGACCATAGTGTAGGTGTGTGAGTATGTTTCCCGGTGATGGGTTGCCACTGGAAAGGCATCCGCTGCGTAAAACATATGCTGGATAAGTTGGCGGTTCATTCTGCTGTGGCAACCCCTGATCAATAAAGGGACTAAGCCGAAAAGAAAATCAATGCATCTATCCATAAATCCCTACATAAATAAAACAATAATTAAATACACAAATAATTAAATGAGTACATAAATCAACAAATCCCGGCATAAATAAATACATGATTAATAAGTCAATAGTGCAGGCTGATAAATGATGAAATAAATTACACCGCTATCGGGGAATAAGAAAATGCTGAACTGCAATGATTAGAAGATGCTTATACCATCATTGATTGATGTTTTTTTTTTTTGGCTCTTTCCTCTTTTTTTTTCTTTATATATTTTCCTATTTCTTCAACATTGGTGTACTTTATTTCATTATTTATCAGCCCGCACTATTAATTGTTTCTGTATTCTGAGTTCTTTGAGATAACTTATCACCTGTATCTCAATATCACGGAGGAGCCCCTCAAAAATGAAAATCCTAAAATCGCTAAAGTAAAAGGGGGGTTTTTTTCCCCAGTTTTGGGTGAACTGTCCCTTTAAAAAAGATGATATTCTGTTGGAAAATCTGATCCAAAGAGCAAAAAATAAAAAGAGATCTTTTTATATTACAGCATTGCAGAATCGGGACCTGGCTCGAGGATGATCCTGTAAGTCCATCTATGGCATCTAAAAGATTAAAATCCATGAATGATGAGTAATTAAATAACTTACGCAGCTGCTGGGAAATTGTTGTTCTTTCTTTTACAGCCACGCGAGGGAGACAAATTTCACTATGAGTGAAAATTAAAGGTTCTTTAAATTTAACAGTTCTTTTTTTTTCTTTTTTTTTTTGTTAAACATAAAAGAGGATACGCTATTAAAAACAATCAGGGTTCCACACAGTTCAATAATGTTGTCTCAACCCAAATCGATTAGGTTAACTTAAGTTTAAGTGGATTGAACATAAAACATTTAAGTTGCCCTAAAAAAATCTCAAGAATTGTGTTGTTGCAGCTCATTTAAACAAGCAGTTTAAACAAACACTTTGGAAAATGGCAACAAATGACATCCATACTTGTTCTTCTTATAGAAGTCAATGCCAGTGGTGGAAAGAGTACTAAAAAATCCTACTTAAGTAAATGTACCATTACTTGCCTAAAAATGTAGTGCAAGTACAGTAAAAGTATCTGTTGTAAATATAACTCAAAGTATGAGTACAAAGTAGCCCTTTCAAAAGTACTCAGGAGCAGTGAGTATTTAGCTTTAAAAAGCTGATGCAGCATGTAATCTGTGGATGTGTGTAAACGGAATATTCTGTAGTGCATTTAGTTATTGCCCAGCAGGCACAAAATGTCATAAATATTAGAGACATTAGTGTTAGGTTAGATTTAGGTCGTAACATCAGGTGACCAAATTCAATGTCTAGCCAGCGTCTAAGGACAACGTTATTTTTGATGTCCAATAACAATGTCAAATTATGTTGATATTAGGTTGATTTTAGGTTTTGTCAAGGGACCAAAATTCAATGTCGAGCCAACATCGTAAAAGAACATCATATTGACATCAAGTATTGACATTTATCCGTCAGGTATGGCAACCAAAATCCAACGTCTGATAGACGTCATAGTGGTCCATACAACGTCAAGCTTTAACCTCATTAGACGTTGATATTAGGTTGATTTTAGGTTGAACATTAGACACTGTATGAAATCCCAAGGTTTAAATTCTTAATCACCTGTATCTTAATGGTCTGTCTTTAAAAGTCCGGTGGACGTATCCCCCTGTCCCCCCTGATTGCTACGCCCCTAGGTACAATGTTAATCTGACGTCATGTTGATGTCTTGTGCCTGCTGGGTGTTTAAGGCCATTTCAGTCATCATACAGTAAACATCCGTCTTCTTCTCATTATTGACCTGCATCTAAACAATCTCTGGGTAAAGTGGAGCTAAAATCTACTGAACATCGGCCCTCCAGGACTGTGTTTAGGCATCCTTGGTCTAAACAGTCTCTGGGTCATTGCGTGTAAATATTTTGGACATCTTCTTGGACACTTTTAATGCTTCCAATAAGTTTGCTGCAATTATAAATCGCACATGTCTTCAAGTAGTACATTATGAAGCAAATTACCTTCTATGTGCAATTTGATTGGACAGAAATCACAGGATTAATTTTTCTAATCCCCATAGACAAGAAAAAATTAAGTAGCGACTGCAGGTTGTAGGAAAGTACTGGAGTAAAAGTACCAATACTGCACTAAAAATATCCTCAAGGGAAAGTAAAAGTGCACGTTTTTAATAATACTCAGTCAATTACAATTTAAAAGAAAAACTATTCAATTGCAGTAATTTGAGCTTTTGTAATTTGTTACTTTACACCACTGCTCAATGCTAAGAATCTTCAAAATATATGTTTAACAGAAAAACAAAATGCCTGAGGTTTGGAACTATTTGATGTAAATAGTCAACAAACTTTCATTTTTGAGGTGAACTATGCCTTCAATACTAAAATTATTTTAATATATGGGCTTTTTTTTTTGATCAAACCATACTGTGAATAGTCCTCAATTTTTAAAATAATTCAGTAGCTTTTGGCTATAAACTAACACTGCATGTGCTGCTTTTGACTATTCTTATTATAGATTAAAAAACAACAGACCTGAAGATTCAATCTGGCATATAGTAGGCCCACATTGAAATAGTAAAATATTGGAGACATATTTTCAAATTCTGGTATAATTTTGCATTGGATAAAGCATTTACCATTCACAAATGTGTAATTAAGACAAGTTGAAATTAATCTAATCCTGCTGGCCTGTGTCAGTCGACTCAAGCTTCAGTGAAAGTTCAGAGCTGATAGTGGAGATGAATAATTAACTTCAGCTTGCAGATCATGTGTCAATATCCTCACTGCAGGTTCAGGTCCAAAGATTATGTGCAAAGCACAAGCAAATCAAGCAGAGTCCAACAGTAAAAGAGCCTTCATTCATAGTCAGTCTCCAATGTAGATCAGTGACGTTACCCCAGCTGATATGTCTTCATCCATATACTTTAATATAAGATATTCTTGTTCCCCAGCATGATTTGAGCTATTTTAACTGCTAACTTTATTTTATATCTTGGAAAACTGTTGGCTAACTTATGGTAGGCTATAGGGGCCAAAAGTCTTCAAACCAGGGGTCACCAACCTTTTGGAAACTGAGAGCTACTTCTTGGGTACCGATTAGTGTGAAGGGCTACCAGTTATTAAATAACACTTTTTTCTTAATTTACTTTTAATTATATGTTATTATTAATAATTAATAATATTCATCTATGTGAAGACATTGATCATGTTAATGATTTCTCACAGTAGTTGTCAACATGATTTAACAAATTGGATAAATATCAATATGCGACACTTCATTTGTCTGAAATTGTTTTTAAAGTTTTTTTTAATATATAACTGAAAGTAATTTTCAAATTTACACCAATGCAAGTGTGATTAAAAAAGAATACCTATAAAAATATTGGATGCAGCTTACTCATATGTGGTGCTACAGTGAGCTATTTTTAGAACAGGCCCGCGGGCAACTCATGTGAACCTGGCGGGTTAACTGGTGCCCACAGGCACCATGTAGGTGACTCCTGCTTTAAACAAAACAGATGATATTTTGACCTTATAAGCAAGCACAATAGCCAATGGGACTGCTGCATTTTGTGACTATATTTGCATATGTGACACAAATGTAATTCTACAAAGCTGATACTATTTAGGAGAAATATTTTGAC